AAGTAATCAAAGTAATTAATCACATCATTTCCTCCGAAAATATGAGTCTGCAACGACAGGTCATTTCAGTAATTTATACCCCAGCTTAGACAACATTCGAATAGAATAGTAGGACCCAAGCCTATATCTTTAAACTGCATTGTTTGTCGCCAAAATTGACTAGTTTTAGTGCATACTTTTGATCCATTTGGCTACCAATGCCTACCACAGTGACAGTGATGTATCAACACTATAATAATACTTTACCAACCTTCATTATGCTTGTACTGCTCTTTGTAAATTATGTAATAAGTACCATGTGTTGAAGCCGTCGTCTAGCACCACAATTATCTGCAAACACTCTCGCTTTTAACACTATAAATGTGAATTTAATGACAGAGAAGTCAAAAAATTAACTTATAGGAGACAAACGAATCCTTGACTGGCTCCTTCAACCTAGTCTGAATTCGTTGCTGCATGGAGCAGCTTCCTCAGCTGTTTGCATAAATGTTGTGTTTCGCTGTTTCGCTTTGGCGGTATTGCAAAGGCCACAACGATCACCGGAATTGACCACCGTGAATGTCTTACCTTGGGAGTACATCAAGAGGTAGGTTTAGGATAATACTCCACATCTCCCTGACTTGGAAAAACATCTATCGCGAAAAAACCAAAATTGAGCCTGCTATGCCTTAGCCGCAGTGTGTTGTATTTAACCAATCCACTTTGGAAATTCTCAAAAGTATTTCGGGCTGAAGCAAGTCAAGCACTCTCCAAATTCACAAGTCAATAAATCACCCGTCAGACATGACTGTAACATTGAAGTTTTGACTTGTGAAATGCTGTTTCACAGCTATATGAATACACGGTGCTCTAACCATCAGTTTTGAAGCAGAGAAAATCTAATATCGCCTAATACGAGGATTGATCTCTATCTTCCGCCCCCGACCACTTTGCAGATGCATTTTTGATGAATGATGAACGTTGTTGTCTGTGTGTTGTTGACATAAAATAAGTGATCTAATCAGGGTATCTTAACAGAACAAAAAGTTTATATGTTTTTCCACGTTATATACTTTTCCATCATCTGGAGCAAAAATTTTACAAATCGTCACAAACGTAAACGTGTGCGGATATAGCGTTTAGATTGATTTGCAAGCGCTTGTAGCCGATCCGATCGATTGCCGGTTTTTGGTCCCAAATCAAAGGGATTTCCCGCAAGCACATGTGACGCGTCCTCATGTTAGTATGCCGTCAGTCTCGCTTATGTAGTGGTGTCGAATAAACGTAGGTTTGCTTATTAATAATCTGGGACCAGCTGACCTCTAGTGTTGTACAACTCAACTGAATTTCTTTTTCGGTACTTTCTTCAATTAGTTACCCCTTTTTAGTTGTTTAACTCAACAGCAAGAAACTTACGCCGTAGTTCTAATTTCTAGTGCCTTCGAAAATCAAAATAAAACAAACATAAATGTATTCAATAAATTAAATGTGTTTTTTTTATCCAAGTAGCTATATGAAAAAATTAACGATTCAGTGGGAAATATCTTAATTTTAATCTTAGTCAATAGTTTCCATCCCTATCAAGTACAAACAATTAGCCTTTTCAATTGATCCGGATTTCATGAATTTGTAACAAGCACCATTTTCTTGCCTATACTTTTCGTTTTCATTGACTTATTTTTTCTGTTGATAGTAAATATGACTTAATCTAAATGTTATGGTCCACACAAGTTCGATGTCGGTCATGCTTGACACTTCAGAACACACCCGCAAACGTGTGTATAGCGACGTCAAAAAGCCGAACGTTTGTAGAGGTTTGAAGTTTGCGGCAAGTGCCAAGCGTGCGGACGCGGCATAATAAAAATGTGAATTCTGTTCAGCAAACAGCCGTAATAGGGAACTAACTGTGAAAAATGTATGGCGCCCAGTGAACTTGATCAAAATATTGTGGCGATTGTTGGAGGTATACAGATATAATCAAGCCCTGTTGTCGAAATTTTAAGTGAGAAACGACATCTTGTAAAAACCAACATGGCAGTGGACCACCTGCAACAACTCACCAAAACATGAAAAAGCATAGCAATACAAGGATGACCTTTCCAAGATTAAAATATCATTTAAGAGGAAAAAAAGTAAAGTGATGAGATGATATCTGCCGTAGAAGAACAGTTTTTAATTGTCGAACAAAATATCTCCCGGGAGAATATTTAAATACTACTAAAGTGTGCTAATTGCAGAGCTAATGTACAAGTAGAAAAATAAATATAACTGTATGCTTTATTGCAGTTGAATTTGGAGCGGAGCACAGAGATCACAAACAAGCCAGTTGTTTTTTGGATATTGAAATCTTTTTGACATGCCTCGTAGTTTTGCCGTCTACTAGCAATGGACACGCTACTAGAAGTTTTAATAATGGAAAAGACTGAAAGTTTCTTTCTGTTAAATTTCAGGTCCATTGTGTGCGAAGTTTTAACTAAATTATGAAGTTCAGCGTTATTTAGAACAATAGAAAAGATTTACTTCTACGCTCTAAACTCCCTTGCTTTATGTACTTTTCCTTTCTTTCTATTTTCCTCTAATGATAATTCTTTCCGACAATGGAAGACTTCTATTAGAAACAGAGGAATGTAGAATTTCTCGCTTGCAATGCAGCTTATAGAAAGTCAATGGGGACTCCGATAAGAATAATGGTCGGTATATATACATTATGGAACTCAGAACTTCCACCGAAAGACAGTGGTGGATTCAAAACAGAACAGGAGTTACTGAAAAGTCCAGTTTTAAATTTCAAAATAGTATTTATCTAAACGATTTAATAAGAACGTAGCTATAAATATGAGTCTACTAAAATTATTTGGATGTTCTCAGGGTCACAAGACGTTTCAAGTTTTCATTTTACTCCGATTCTATCAGATCTTAAAGGAGCAACCCAAAACAAAATATACAGTAACAGGAACATATGGCCATATATGAAGTCACCACCATGTACCAAATTTCACTCGTTGTTAGGGAAGATGAAATTGAAAAGTTACATTTAGCAGCTGATTAATGGAAAAATCGAAAATTCTTGCGTTCAACCAAAACTCATCTCTTGGGTAAGCGAGGTTCATAAGCCACGAACTCTGTTTTTCGCTAAAATCCTTAATCAGCACCCCAGCAGTCTCCAGTTGTCAGATGTTCTTGACTTATAATTTAAAAAGGTGACAATAATTGAAAATTTGAATCAAGAAATCTGAAGGTTTAAAGGCATACTACTAAAACAGCCCATTTATTACTCCAAATAGGACTACGCGACATTTGAGTATTTATCTAAATAGCTGTATTAGAAATCATCGTTCCAAATTACCCCAGTATTCCAAGCTTCGTTGGCTTGTATCAATGAGAGGCAAAACTGGAAATTCTGGATTAAGAACTCCATTTTTGCGTATCTGAAATCTCAACAAAGACCCACTTCGCTAAGTGAATCTGATTCAGTTTTTCGTTGATACAGACGGAAAGCCATAAAGCGAACCTCCCCCTTAGGTATAAGACTGTAAGACCTGTATCTTGTGTTCTGATTCCTTGATTCCTGCTATTAGTTCTAAAATAGTTTGCCAAAGACTAGGTAATTTGCTCATGTTCAGCTTCTCCCAAACAAGGATCTATGACTAAGCCTTACAACTACAGACCTATAACTCTGCTTTCTGTGATCAGCAAAGTGATGGAGGATCGTTTGTTTAGGGTTAAGAAGTATTTTTCTCCAACGTCCTAACTCTGCACAAGGCCCATATACAACCCACCCTCGAGTACTCCTCACGTTTGGCGTGCTGCTGCTCCGTCTACATTGTCCATACTTGATGCTATTTAGAGGCGGGCCAGTCGCACTGGCGGGCGGTTGCCTTGAGCCTACCAGGCGGACCCGCTATGCTTCTGCCTGCCAGCATAACTCTATCGAACTTCGTACATCCAGATCTTGCCGGTATCATCGCTCTTTTGTTCCGATTGTATCGACGTTGGGGGACAATCTCTGCTAGCCTCAGGCAGTTCCAAAATCGGAGTAACAAAGCTCGCACGGGTATCATGTAAAAAACCTATAAAACGTCAAAACTAGGTAGTCTTTGGGGCGCAAACGGTCATTCCACGTTTGTTCGTCCTTGTCTGTAGTTTTTATCTCTGAGAAGAAAGTTGTTAAATAGATGATTATGTGTATTGGTCTGCATGTGTATAAAATCAGTGATATCTGCTGTGTGAGAAAATCATTACTGCATATGCTGCCAATGAAGTATATCTATTAGCTGTGCCTGACGGGTCATTTTTATGTTATGGTTCCTGAAGAGAGGTTATGTTCAAAGTTTTAAATAACGAAAAACTGGCGAGAATTACGGGAAATCATCACCGCGTCCGCGTTGTGTGTAATTACTAGACCTCCAGAAATGCCATCTCAGAAGCAGATTTTACATCACATCAGAGCCAAAGATTGATAACAACCCTCATGACGTTTAGGCAACTCGTACAATTGTGCTAAGTTAACATCTTGTAGAAAAACCAACATAATGTCAAAAAAAACAGCATAATGTCAACAAAAATCGGCATAATGTCACTTTTCAAGATACGTGATACCCTTCTGTCTGCTCGACTGCTTCAGTATGCCGCATAGCGCTTCGTGTCACTTTTAGCATCTTATAGTGCCCATATCCAAAATAACACCCGTGTACAGAATTCTAGTGTATTTGCAAGTGATTTGCAACTTTGCGAAAAAACATTGTTCTGGTACGTAGGGGCGTGACACAAATCTGATGTCAATTTTTGCTTAAATCAATGGGACGCCTTAAAGCCACAATCCAGTGCAAATAGGGCTTCGCGATACTTGAGCACTTTTTGATGACTGTATTCCAAACCAGCGTCTGAAACGACCAAAATTTTCAACTGGAAGCTTTGAAGTGTATGGAACAAAAATTCGAAAATTCTTGCATTTCAGAAATTTCGACAAGGACCTGTTGGTACTAAGTTGGTATCCAGATTTCGCCTTTACAAACGACGTCGGAGTCGTAGAGAACTAGTTCCCAAAAATATTCGTTTTAATCGGGAAAAATGAAAGTACAGATAGTAAAACACATATGGCGAACGCTTAACATATAAATGTCATCTTCGGATATCATTTGTAACATATTTTGAATAGTTTACAGACTTTGAACACTAATAAACTTTGTGAAAATACACACAACTATATACAGTTTATCTGTCACAATCAAATGACATTATCAAAGATCATCATCCAAGCTGTTCCTCTGATTTCCTATTGACTTCATTGCATTCATCGTAGATCAACCTCATTTTTCTCAACAACTCCACTATATTGGTGCCCATCTTGGCACTAATGGGCACAACCTGAGCATTGCCAGCAGTGTCTTGTAACCTCTTTACATTCTTGTCAGCACCCGGCAGGTCCATCTTGTTAGCAGCTATGATTTGGGGTCTGTTAGCCAATTCTTCGCTGAACTGCTTCATTTCGTGGCGGAGAACGTATATGGCTTCTTCGGGTTCTGGAAGTGAAGTGTCCACCACAATCACTAGAGCTGCACATCGTTCAGCGTGCTTCAGGAACCTAATACCAAGGCCACGATTTTTGTGGGAGTCAGGGATCAGACCCGGTAAATCTGCCACTGAAAAAAGAAACAAGATCATGCATTACAAACGCAAGTATTATAACATTCACATAACCACCAGAGGATACCAAATTCAATTGAATGCCATGCCTGCCTAAAAACCTGCCATCGTCTTCAGGCGCCAGCGTTGCCATATCTCGGACTGTTGCCGCAGATGATGGGATATTATGGGAGAAACTATTAGAGTAAGAAATTTAGGGATAATGACGAGGGAGGTGATCTTTCTATGGAAGGTTGATGTCATGTTTGACAATAAGCAATTTTCCTCAAAAGGCAAATGAAAATTGTTTTTAAACGACCAAATACAGCTTGAGGTTGGTCATCTTCTTGGAGAATATGTTAATCAATGGTTATAATGTCTAAGCTGTTTCAAGTTCAATGAAAATATAAAATGTACTAGAGCTACACAAAAGATTTGCCACAGAATTCTTCATTTCCGGATATAATCTCCATCTTATTTGTGTTATACGCCAAGATTTCGTCAAGAATTGCAAGGAACATTCCTTTTGCTCCAACGTTAAAAGCAAATCATGTGATGATCTATTCAGGAATGAAGAAATCTCTAGCAACAACAGGAACAACAGCATCTCTAGAAGATTTCAAACAACAAAATAACGTCTATCAGTAGCAAAACAGATTTATACCTGCAATTTGTTCATAATCATCATAAAGCACCATGCCCAAATGTGGTTTCACAGTGGTAAAGGGGTAAGGTGCTATCTTAGGTCTTGCACGGGACATAGCTTGTAGCAGAGTGCTTTTGCCAGCATTCGGGTATCCAATCTATAAAATTTAATCAACAGAATAATTTGAGTGATATTTTTGGCTGAATGCTACTAAAAATATTAGATAAAGTTCTCCTCTGACAACAGTATGAGACACGCTGAAATATTGCAGTCAAACTTACTTGCACAAACGGAAATGATATGTTATTGACAGTCTGTACTTCGATATATCAAACCCACTTGAGACTATTATATTAACAGTATTGTGAAACAAAACAGATATTTCAAGTTAGAACATGACTGTATTAAGATTAGGCTACCTATAATGTAATGTTCTTCAACCATGATGTTTTAATTCCAACTTACCAATCCTATATGCGCCATACTACGAATCTCTAATGTATAATCTAATTGTTCTCCTGTAGCCCCATATTCACATATTTTTGGTGCTTGTTCAGTATCATTGCAGAAAAAATGGTTGCCTTTACCTCCAGCTCCTCCCCTGGCAGCTACAAACATGAGACCTTCTTTATCTAAATCACCAATAATGTTCCCTTCTTGGTTCTTGATTATCGTTCCTACAGGAACATCAACAATATGGTGATCTGCGTTTTTTCCATGACAGTCTTTGTTTCCACCTAGAAGAAATTATCAAATAAACAGCAGGGATTGACATGTATATCGTCATATTGACGGTATCGGCCGATATGACTGCCCATATGTCGCTATGGGCTGACCACTATGAATCACATATACAGGGTGACTTCGAAGTTGAGTCATTTATTTTAACAGTGAGTAGATCTGATTAAAAGAAATGTGTTTTCCTTTACCATTTTTCTGGTAAAATTAAAGTAACAAAGTTATAGCCCTTTGGAAGTTTGAGTACCGCCCTGTCTCAATAATAATATCATGTGCTCGTGTTTGGCAACAACGGATATAATCCGTCTTATCGGTTCATCGCATCGGAAACAAAAAAACGAAAGAATTTGGAACGATGTTTTTACAATTATTTTATTCAGTTCAGTTATACATACAGTCACTGTCAGTCGGTAACGCGTGTGAATAGTGTCTGTTGCGTGGCTCAAACGAAATAAAAAATGGCACATGTACAACGGGCTCGTGAATCAGGTGACTTAAGACCTCACAGGGGACCTCACGATCAAATACAGGTCCGCACTGAAATACTTGTCGGGAGGATACTTTATAAAACAAGGTAAAATTTTTTTTTTTATTTTTACACATATATTTTGGTTTATCTTCCTTCTACAATCATTATCTGAAAATTAATGACTCAACTTCAAAGTTACCCTGTATAATGTGTGCATTCTTATCAGTTCTCTCTTTTCTGTTTTTACATGGGAGTCGCATTGTCAACAATATCAGTCTTTTGATTAGGAATTTTGTCGAAATATTCCCAGACGGCGCTGTTTTTCGCAATTACGATATTTTCAGACACGTTCCGCCAAAACAGATCAAGAGTTTGATTCCCATTGAAAAAAGCGATTTCATGAAACGTGAAACTCAAGCTACTTGCGACAGGCAAATAAGATACAATAATACGAAACTGGGTTTTATGGAACTTCGGAAAATAGTTTTCAGCAACTTCAAGTCTTAGGTATAATTTCGAACATTCATTCCGCGTGACCAGATTGTAAGGTTTCTTATAAGTTTTCAGAGCTCATAAATAAAGAAATGGCAACGAGTAGATTGAACCTATACTTCCAATGCCTTCAAAACAGCTTATAGTGTACAATTTTCCATGTAGTGCAATGACATCAAAAAGGGGTAGGTTTTGTCAGAACCACTAATCAACTATTTGGGCTTCGGCCATCAAAAAAAATCCTCATTTCTTTGGAGCTGTGGTATAAAACTTCTGGTCAACAATGTATGATAACTGATTATAATAGCTGATGATAAATACACATATATGATTCATCAAATAACATCACTCCAAACATAACACTCGTATATATAGATGATCTTGTGTCCACCTCGTATGTAGCTGCTCAGCGTGCCTGCTCGGATCGAATATCAGAGATGCGATATTTATAAAATAAGCCCGAGTCACAGGGCATATGCGACCGATAGTCTGTTGAGAATATTTTTTAGTTTTATAGAAAAATGAACAGAGAAATCTTAGGCCAAGTAATTGGGTGAATTTATGTCTATTTTGATAAACGTGCTTGTTTGAAAATCTCGAAAACCATCCATCCTATGTAAAAAGAAATGCAAACAATTTTGTAGGGGATTAAATTCTTCATCATTTTGCTGTATAAAAAATAGTCGTTTAGTCAACCAAGTACGAGAAATTAAAGGGTAAAGGTGCATGTAATGACAATTCTGATGATAATGGCTAAACTAACAATCTAAGAGTCAAAAACACTAGAATTTTTTCTAGAAAAAAAAATTTTGTCACAAAAAGATATTTAATGTTTTTTTAACACCTTGATGGTTATTGGAATATAGGGAAAGTTGAAAATTCGTATCAAAACAGTCGCATGACATTGTCCACATGCTACATACATTATCCGCATACAACATTAGTTCCCATGGAGATAAGTTCATAATCATTATTTATATGTTCAAAAATACAATTGCAAGTAAATCTATTTTTTACAGCCACGTAAAAGAATGAAAAATGTAATATTTTTTTAGTAATCTGGATATTTTCATTACGAAGATCGGGTCACTCACTCCCATCAGTCTATTGGCGATTTTGTCACTGAGTAATTTCAGCAACCATTGTAGCGATTTTAGTGGTTAAGGAGTGCTGCATGCATATACCTTTTTCGCCACATTCTGCTCTGATTAGAGTGGGTACATGGTTTAAGTCTTTGATATCATAAGTGGCTTTGAAAATAACATGCCCACCATTTCCACCATCCCCACCATCAGGTCCAGCAAACTCATTGGCATAAATGGACAGAAAGGAAATGCAACCATCACCTCCTGTGCCTGCTATCGCTTTTAGCCGACGAAAATCTGCAAAATTTTGGGTCTATTTGAAAGTGCTTAAATTGATCTATGGAAGATTAGTCAATTTACCGTATTCCTTATAGACTTTCCTTTTCGGCTTCTCAAAGGTTGTGGTAATCGTTGGGAGCACCATCTAACCAAAATTAGAGGTGTTGCAAAATTCCTAAGAAAAACCATAGCTGGTACACACAAGCCAAAGATATTTCAAGTACTTGTCTTTATTTGAAAACGCATTTATTAAAGTTGTTCAATACAATCTAGCTTCACATTGTTTTTTCAAATCCAAGGAATAGAATGAAAGGATTCGAAAAGTAAACAAGACGACATAACCTAAAAATATATGTCAGCGTGACAGGCAAATCACTCCACGGCACAACTCCATAGAACAAATTCTTGTAATAAATAGTGTTGTGTGGTGTACCAGCACCAGAAAATGTACTAGGCGTTATGAACGAACAGGCCTACTTTCACCACTACAGAAACTGTAGAAGAGTTAGGTGAAAGTAGGACAGGAATATGAAATTGAGTGGAAAGAATCAATTTAGGAAACATCGATCTTCGAAGAATTACAAATCAATCTTTGTGAAAAAAAATGTTCCAGTGCTTTTCTATATTGTGTGGAAGTTGAGTCAATAAAATCCGACTATCGTTATCAAAAAACAATAAATAAAAATCGATTATAAGGAGTTAATTAAAATCGATTATTGTTAAACATCCCTAACAAAGCTGTTTTCGACCACCCAATCGACAGTTAATGATACCATCTCTAAGCGTAAGCACGTGATAAGCACATCTCTATTTGTCGATGTCATCTCGTTCTCGAATGACATATAGTTGTCAACCATTTGTCGAGGGATGTAAATACCCCGCCCTTGTTTAGGTTTTCACTTTTGTTATATATGATATTCCCAAAGTTAAAAACGTGTATTAAATAGTATTGTGCCGTGTAACATTTCCAAAAGATATATATATATATATATATCAAATATGAGTACATAATTTGAAATTGAGCCTTCATATATTTTCCACGCCTTGAAAATGATTGTACACAAAAATATTTACTATACAGTTCTAGCCTTGTTTGAATTCGGTAAGTGGAAAATTTGAATTCATTTTTCAGCAGAATTTTTTATTTTTATGTATTTCAGTTTTAATGTCGAATGCATATAACTGCAGCATTCCTGTAATAATAAGAGGAGCATGGTTTTCCTGGGAACATGGACAAAACACACTCACAGAGCTAGATGCAACAACTATGAGCAATTCAATTGCACCTAAAGGAACTTGTGTTGATATAAGGGATGATTATCATGTGAATTATACAATGGTGTTCAAAAGGGGTACATGTTATACATGTATAAAATTTATGGTGAGAACAGTCAACGTTCTAGAAAAAATTGAAAGTGAGTAACTCAAAATTGTTCACTGTAATTTCACAGCCTATACTTTACTTTTTAGACTTTTGAAAGTACGGCAGTATTATAATTTGTCTATTAATTATTAAATAATTTATTACCAACTTATTTTAGAACAATCTTTAAACACGTTTTGAGAAAAGTGAAGCATTTGATGAATCCTTTGATAGGGTATTCAGTTAACATCTATAATAACATGCAAATAATAAAAAAAGCTAAAGTATTTAATGTTATACTGTTTTACTTATCTCACTCAGCTAATTTCCTTTCATTCCCTATTTTAAGAGACAACTAAACCTCTACAATAATAGTATTGCTTGACATTTGTTCCAAGAAGTTCAAACTCTGAAAAAATCACAGGGATGCGGTGGCATATTAATAGGATAAGTTTATTAAACAGACTTAACAGGAGTGATTGAGTTGGTGTTTTTATTTTCAGCATCTTGCATAAGCTTGCCTGAAGAAAGAGCTACAGTTGAAAATATCTGCAATGCTTTAGACCCCAACCAGCAGTTAAGAACATTGTTTTCTGAAAACTACATCCCTGTGAATTGTAGATCTTCACTAGAAGGTAATTCGTTACTATATTTTTCATATTTTGTTAATAAGAAGCAATATAGTTGGTATATAATTATCATCTTTTATAAAATATGACCACTCACTGTACTTGAAATCTTACATAATGATACTTGTGCTTTAGGAGTTTGGAATTTTGGTTACCAAAATCGTTTCAAGTTCAGAGGAGAGTGTACAAATCCAGATGCACAAATCAGATCTTGTCAGACTGCTGGTTCTCAATTTTTGATCACCAATCAGAAGTTTAATATTACTTACAAAAAATGTGATGGAATGGAAGGAACTTTTGATGGAGTTGTTGAATATAGTTGTTTAGGAGACTGGTTTGTGAATAAAAATCACTATTTTGCTGTTGCTAACACCAAAGAATCAAGAAAGGATGAGAAATATAGATGTTTTTTGAAAAACAGAGATGATGACTTATATATTGGTGTTTCTATAACTGCAGAATGCAATACACTTAAATCTGTTGAGGATAGCCCTGTGAGGTTGCATGTTACTCCTGGTAAGTATAACCTGTATACCTTATCACTGGTATAACTGGTTGATTTTATGCTTCCCAATCAAAGCCAGTCCTAAATCCTCTCTGTTTTTAAGAATTTTTTGTCACATCTATTTCAATTCCATTGTCTCAGACTCGAGAATTTTTGCTGTCTTATTACATAGTTGAAAAGAAAAGATTAATATTTGATCTTCTGTGTTTTCAGTTAAATCGGAAATTGTACAGCCTGGTTGCCGTTTACCTCAGAACTTTTCTGGTGAATGGATCAATACTGCCAATATTGATGCAGATATATTCATTAACGAAACCCATATAATTGAAACTTGGTATCCAGATGAGGGCAGGTACAGAAAAACAATCTATGTTTGTCGTGAACAAAGGGCTACTAGATTCATGATGGCGCGATTAACCGTTGATGGATGGTAAGTGATATTGAAATGTAAAATTGTTACATTTTCCAAAATTCCGACTTTTTTTCAGCCAAAAAGATTTCATCTGTTTTGACTTTGTACCTCAACACCACAACATAATCAGATATCGAAGAGGTATAGCTGTTATCAAGGATGATTTCAGTACAGTATGTTCCTGGGTACAATTTCAAAATAAAGCTAAATGGAAGTATGATTTGTATCTAAAAAAGAACCCAGTACCTGTTAAATGTCCTGTTGCTGGTAAATTCAACTTTACGCAACAAGGAGACGTCAAGTTTGAAACTCGGTAAGAACATTTGATCACTTATACTTGCTTTTTTTTATTTTCCAAAAACTAAAAATGCACCACTACAGTGGTTTTAAGCGACTGTATCACAATAATTTATATTTTTCAGTATTCTTGGAGGAGTTACATTAAGTCCGCGGCCAAATACTTATTGTAAACAGAACATATCAGATTTTTCCGTGTGTGATATTGAGCAAAAGGAAATTGCTATTGATGAAAATTACTGTCTTTCTGTTGATCATCTTGGTCGTCCTGTTGATATATACAGTAAGTATTGTAAAGAAATTTCAAATTATTTTCAAGCTAGTCTGGTTTAGTTTTTCCAAATATGGGAAAAATACGCGCCATTTATAATATCAGTCTGTTTCTTTGATTTCAATATTTTCTTCTGATGAACATTCCTTATTTAAGGTGATCCTGATTACAAAATGAAATGTGTAGGATTTTGGAAGGAAAATCTTAAGTCATACCTGATAACTTATGATGAATTAGATCCACTGTCAAAATATAAATGTTGGGTATACCAGAGAGCAGATCTCAATAGAGTGCTTATGTCTCAAGGTAAGAATAACTCAGTCTCCACATTCATTGTAGGAAGGTTCCTAAGTTTTGACTGTTAGATTAGTCTCACAATCCTGATGTTTCATCTAAAGGTTTGTAGAATGGTATAATTTGTAATTTAGTAATACATACAGTTCCAACAGACAGCTGTTTCACTTTTGTAGTTGTTGATTCTGGTATTAGAAGTCACTTTTTGCTGTTTTATTTCAAGAGACCTTATACACTGAATAGAGTTGCTCAGCTTTCATTCGTTGTCCCCCAAGAAGAAGAAATAGCATGAAACAGCTGCCCATTGTTGACCGTCTATGGTCAGACGAACAAAAGCTGTATCACCAGTTTATAATTACCTGTATTTCGACCACTAAGTACATTAAGAGGATTCATATTTTTTTCTAGCAATAGGTCCTTTCTGTGACCTTAAACAAGATGTCTACTCCTGGAATTATACAGAGGGTGCAACAGTCGCAATTGAAATGCAGGAATATGAAAGAGAACGTAAGTTTGTAATTTTAAATTTGGAACATATCAATCTGATTTCGCTTATAATTTGACGGCGATATAAAAATTAGAAATCTTCATTCTATTTTTCAGGAGACCAATGTCCAATGCATTTCGATGATGGCTCTAACCCTTGGTTGAACAATGAAAACGAAATACAAATATTCGATTTTGGATATTTCTACAGCAGTGGGCGGGCAGTTTCATTCAGCAGCATTTTGTTATTGTGCGTTATCCAAGTTTACCTCTTTTGTTGAAGTTAACCAAACCTCATGCCATTTTATGTATGATCGACTGAAATATACTGTATGCAGAATCAAATTACTGTAAAGGTTTAATGAGGGCAACCTACATATTATGGATAATTGTGAATCTCATTTTCTTTATTAGTATCATTTTTAAGTGTATTCAAAGCATGCTACTTAAGTTGAACTTATTTTCTCACATACTGAGTTATTTTGTTCTTAGAGATCCAAATTTGTTTTTTTTATATTTGACTTGGGTTTATTCCAACTCATCTTAGTGAAATAAGTATAAACTTACCTTTTTTTTTTAGGGAATTAATTAAAAAAAATTGTGCTGTTCTCATGTCATTGACTTTTTAAATACACTCCTTTATTTTTTTTTGTTGGGTCATTTTGAGAATACTGTGATCACATACACAGGCAGTTCTGTCACTAGCATGGAAGATGACATAACCCTCTGCCGAGGTTGTCCATAAGAATTGCCATCCTAGAGCCGCTCTGCATACTCTGTAAAGATTAGAGATAAGATTATAGTTAGGAATAGGTTTAAAAGAAGTGTTAATCAGACAGCTGACTGTATATATAATCCGTCCATTATAGGTGCACTTAAATGGTTTTGATCTTTTTGTAAACTTTTTATAGTAAATAAATTATTTACATTTGAAATCCGTTTTTAACATTATCCCATCATCCTACTAGGGCACGGCGAACAAAGAATAAGCCAAATGTTTCAATTGCAATAATGGTATATCTGTATTTCTAAACTGGGAGTCAATTATCAGTATCCCGTAAATTCGTATTTCAGGTCCTGCTTAACCATAGCTGTTGATGAGGCAACGTCTGACGTATCGTGTTTTTGGCGTATTGTGATACCCGCGGTTTGTGCCTCGTTTTATGACGGACTTTTGTTACTTTATCTTATCAAACATGTAGGCCCTTTTTGCCGACCCCAAGTGTACCAAGAATCTACTCCACATGTTGGTTTACTAATCTGTCGAATTTTGCTAATCTCTTAATAACCACCCATTCCACTGAGTAAGCAACTTCGCCATCAAAATCTATACACATATCTCAGCCTGCCCTATACGGGGCAATGGTCTTGAAAGTGGGACCCTATCTGGTCCTCCTACCAGCAGCAGGTTGTACCTCTCCTAGCACTTAAAGGGAACAAGTGTCTCTGGACTCTGCAGTGGCCGGTGAGACCACCCACCAAAAGGCTGAGCGATTCTCTACCCCTGTCCAGTAGCCAGCGGGTCCAAGATTCTTCGCGGCCCGCTACTAACCTCATGTCCTGTCTCCAGCCATATCTCTCGCACAAGTCCCTTTACACCCATTAATTCAAGGCAGTGTTGACCTGGCTCCTGCTTACGTACAGCCTAGGCTCTGGACCGATGGAGATGCGTCTGGCTCCCAGAATATCGGCTTTCTCGTTGCTCGGCACTCCGCTGTGTCCGGGGACCCACAGCAGGGTCATTTCTTTAGATCGGGTTAAACTCTAAAGGGCAGCAATGCATTGCTGCACTAAGGGTGACCTTGTCCTAGGGGATGCTACTGCCTTCAGGTCTGCTTTACTGTCGGAGCATATAAGGATGCTCTGCTCGGTGCACTGCTGAATCTCCTCCGAGTATGCCACCATTCAGATAGCAAACATCTCTGCCTGCAAGATCTTTGTGCAGGTTCCAAGCGCGAATGTTATTTTTCCAATCGCCCATTCTTCCTCCGAGGGGATGATGAGTGATTCTAAGTCTGACCGTATGATGTTCTTTGTTCTTACCACTTCAACCGAGGATATGGGGAGATTACTCTCCGTCACTGGTTCTCGTATCGCCCTCGCGCCCTCATCGCGCAACCTTAAAGTAGCATTCCACTGAGGCAACAGTGAACGACATGTGTTTCCTAGTGTTGCCTCTTGTTGACGTTCGACAGTGTTGCCCAAAATTGTATCAATGCCGCATGCAGATTTTGTTCGCCTATGTAGCATGCGCCTTCACAATTCAATTCAAGCAACTTCAGTTTATTATGTCGTCATTACAAACAGCAGCGGCTGCTTATTTTAAAAAAGAAAAACGCCATAATATCGAAGAGGAAATATATACGTAGATGGTCAAGAAATTCAGTACAATTTGTACAACTTGGCGGCTGCTGATGATGCTTTATTCCGAAATTTCCCACTCACTTGAAAAAATCTCAACTATGATAAAAGAAATGTGATACCAACGGGTGATAGTTATCCATCGCTTATGTATCTGTTTCGGATATCTGAACCAAGTATTTCTCAAATGATTCCAGAGGTTTGCCGAGCTTTGATGACATTCTACATGATTTTGTTAGGGTAAGTAAAAATATCAATACATTATCATTTTTTTATTCTAATAATAAAATATCAGTTTTAATATGCCTTCAAACAATAAAAAAATGAAGTATATAATCAATAAAAACAACAACACCTATAATAATAGTCATAATGAAATCTGCATACGAGGGATGTCTTTTAAGTTTTGCATATGGACATAAAACAACACGGTAGGTAGTTTTAAATGACTTCATTGTTTTTCGAAGTATTCTCCACGAAGATTAATACACACCTGCATGCGCTCCATCGAATTTTCGAAGCACTTATTCCACTCGTTTGTTGGCAGATCCAAAACGGCATTTTTGAATGCGTCAACTGCTTCTTCTGGTGACTGGAACCTTTGACTACGCAGTATGTTTTTAATTTTCGGGAAAGTAAAGAAATTGTTGCGATTTAGATCGGGACTATATGGAGGATGGTCCAATAATTCCACGTTTTGTTCCGTTAAATACTGCCTTGTTTTTTGGGCTGTGTGCGAGCTACATTGGCTTGGTGGAGGATGATTCTTCTTTCGGGGTTGATTTTTCGGTGATGACTTTTGGCAAACAAATGGTGGTATACCAATCCGCAGTAACAGTTATTTGCTCATTAAGAGGAATTGTTGCAATATGACCCGCTTTTGACACAAATGTCACGACCATCTTTTTCGAAACACTTCGAGAACGGATGACTTTTGTTGGCTTTTCTTCACCTTGGAACACCCAAACAGCCGACTGTCGTTTATTTTCTGGTTTATAACAGTAAATCAACGATTCATCACCACTAAAAATGCTGTACACATTTTTTGAGTTTCCGGAATTGAAACGGTCAAGAGTTTTTTGACACCAATTAACCCTGGCTGCTTTCTGCTCTTCAGTCAACAGGTGGGGTATCCAACGAGAAACTAATTTTCTTAGTCCTAATTCTTCATGTAATTTTCACATGTCTATCTTCAATGATGAGTTTGCGCACAGCATCGGGGTTTTCCTGGGTGACTGCCGTTTTTGGCGCACCCACCCTGGGATAGTCGCTAAGACTCACCCGTCCAGGTTTGAATTCTCCATACCAACGGGAGATTGTCGACTGATGTGGCGCTTCGTTGCCGAAAACAGACAGTAACTCAGCAACGCATTCTTGTTGCGATAATTGTCTCTGAAAGTTGTAATAAATTATGGCGCGAAAATGTTCTCGGCTGAGTTCCATTTAAAAAAATAGTCCTAGCATCCTTTTTGTTCTTAACACAACTCTTTAAAATGGCATATGTTTTATCCGCACGTTGATCTTCCACTTTTCTTTTCGTTGTTACCTTCAGAGGAGATTCAAACACTTTTCTTGGTGGACCAGATGCTGTTGACTGATCTGATGAGGGCGGAACTGGTGATTGTGATGGTGAATGAAACACGTCAACAATTTCAGTATCTCCATCGGATGCAATCTGTATGTCAGAATTGAAAAGAAATTCGTCATTAAAAAGATGCAAATTCAGTCAAATTTAAAATAATAACTAACGGTATAAGTAAATGTTAATTAATTTTTTCCAGATGCCACGCTCAGAAAACGAATCGAAAACGATAACAAGAGATTTCGAAGATTCCTGGAATTATCCGCATTGCGTCGGAGCTTGTGACGGAAAACACGTTATCATCCAAAAAACAGTGGCAGTATCTTTTTCAACTAGAAAGGGACTTTTAGCATTGTTTTGATGGCCGTTGCTGACGCAAATTATAATTTTATATACGCTAATATGTTGGCTGCCGAGGCAGGATCCGACGGAGATGCTTTTCGAGAATCGTCCTTTCATAAAAAGTTGGCTGAAGGAACGCTGAAATTGCCTGATCCAGAACCATTTCCTGGTAGCAATAAACTATCGCCTTATGTCATATTGACGGATGATGCGTTCCCACTACAGGAACACATCATGAAACTCTTCAGCGGACACCACTTCTCAAAGACTGTACAATTATATGCATTCCCGTGCTCGACGAGTAGTGGAAAGTTCATTTGGGCTGCTAGCAAGTGTATTTCGTGTATTTAGAAAACTACTGATGATACATTTTAAAAACGCCGAAATTGTCACAATGACATGTATTTACCTCCATAATTTTTTGACAAGGAGTAACACCTCGCGATCGTTACATTGCCCTCACGGAACTTCTGATAACGAAACGCAAGATGGAAAAAAAATTCCTGGATCATAGCGGGCAGACGTCCAAGGTGATACTGGTCTGCAGGATTTGTCAAATAGAGCAACAAGGGCAACTATTGAATCTAAAGTATTTTTGAGGTATTTTTAATCGGATGAAAGCCGTGTGCCTTGGCAGGACAATTTCGCCTAACTTTTGATTTTTTACTCCTACCTTTTTACTCTCATAATTATGCTGTTTGTACATATGTTTCAATATACTTACTAATACCATAAAGTTGTGTATTTATATTTAAAAAACTCACCTCAATGTCCTCTTCGTCACTTCCACCTGTTGACAGTGTGGATCTGGGCTCATCCACGTCCAATAGGAAGGTAAGTGCTTCATAACAAAACCACTTTCCCTTCTTGCAGGGCGATGATCCACTCTTTTTTTTACGTAATTTTTTTCCGTTCCCGATGGAACGCCGAAAGCGAATTCTTAATTTCTTTTTAATCTCCAATACCCACCAGTTGTATTTTCCTATTTAAAGAAATTAAACATTAATAAATAAGCCAACTATTTTTGTCTGATCGTCGTACGCGGCCTGCCATAATTATATTTACCTGACAATTCCCGTAATTTATCCTGCTTTAGTCGCGCATCTTTATATCTTTCCGATTTGTTGTTCCATAATTCACCCGATTTATGGTAATCTTCAATTAAACATAATGTTTTCTCATTGGTTCACTCCATTTTGTCGCCTGCTCCAAGCCGCACCGTCCCAACGCTTTTTAAGGCGCAATTCCACTGAGGCAACTTTTGGGCAACATGTAGCATACGGCATTGACGCATACGGCACATTGTCTTTCCATAGAGGCAACACAAAGCGACAAAAAAATGTCTCCTTGCCGCATGCCACAATTTGCCCGTTGTTGCCTCTCGAGCGCGCCGTCGTGTTGATCAATGTCGCCGGCTATCCAAACCCGCTCGGGTCGGTGCGGCTCGTAGCAGCAGGCGACAAAATGGAGTGGACCAATGAAGAAACATTATCTTTAGATGAAGATTACCATAATTCGGATGAATTATGGAATAACAAATCGGAAAGATATAAGGATGTACGACTAAAGAAGGATAAATTACAGGAGGCAAAAATAGTTGGTGGCTACGGCCACTTGCTAGCGTACAGTACCTTTAGTCTTTTAGAGGTATACGATTGTTTGCTTCTTATCCAGCTGTCTCCTTGACATATCATTACTAGACGAGGAGACATATACCGTACTGACGAGGGCTAATGAGCCCGAAACAGTACTGTCATCGGTTGGTTATGGTTTCAGGGGGACAAGAAGGAAACAGCTTCTCATTGCCACGCCTTTTATTGGTTAATTAATAAAACACAATGATAAATACTATCTAACGCTTGGTGCAAGCAAAACAGTTGTTTAGTGGCGTGCAAAATTTAGGCCCTAGCTCAATAAAGCGGAGAGTAGGAGCGGGTTAAGAGCGCCAGTGACTTAGGACGGATTAAGCCACAACTCCCCGAGATGTTGGTCGGAACTTGTTTTGCTTGATCACCACACAACAGGAGAATCTATCAGAGTTGACGAAATTTAAGTAACAGTACACACAGAAAGAGCCAAATAAACAAGATATCAAATGGATCACAATGTATTGATTAAAAAAAAACGTACCCGCACTCCAGTAGAGAACAAATCGTATTCCCACTTGTTGATATGTGCAGCCATCGAGTTTTCCGCCAAGCTATCTGCCCATACCCAAAAAATTGTCCACTCTACAGGACAGAACGTAAGATAAGAAGATAAAACAACGTAATTCAAGAATTATACTGAACAAAGGGAGTTATCAATCGACAAACCCCTACGCTCCTTCACATAGATGGATGAATGTGACAAGGTAAGACAAGAGTACGCAACTAATCCCTCTAGTAAAAGACAAGGATAATAATATTCAGTATATCGCATAACCTAAATCACCACTCGATAATAGGAACTGCTATGTGGAAACATCCAACAATTAAGACTCAACACGGTAGTGATTTACTTATCTAAGCCAGGTTGTTCAGATGGTAGATCTTAGATGTTATAAAGTGTGAACACATGATGGACTTTTACCAATGGCAGTTTTCCCGCCACGGACAAATTCTAAGGCCCAGCCCGTCGGGCCAATAGATAAGACAATATCATAAAGGCGTACCTACAATAATAGAGAGTAATACGACGATATCACTAACAGCAATATATTATAGGTAGTTGAACAAACTAAGGTAAGGTAAGTAAATCCCTACCGTGTTGAGTCTTAATTGTTGGATTTTTCCACGTAGCTGTTAGTATTATCGAGTGGTTATGCGATATACTGAATATTATTATGCTTGTCATTTACTAGAGGGATTAGTTGCTTACTCTTGTCTTACCTTGTCAGATTCATCCATCTATGTGAAGGAGGGTAGGAGTTTGTCGATTGATAACTCCCTTTGTTCAGTATAACTCTTGAATTACGTTGTTTTATTTTATCTTCTCTTATCTTACGTTCTGTCCTGTAGAGTGGACAATTTGTTGGGTATGGGCAGATAGCTTGGCGGAAAACTCGATGTCTGCACATATCAACAAGTGGGAATAGGATTTGTTCTCTTCTGTTTCTATTGACAAAAAGGAAGCAGATATTTAACGAACGTCATCAGGACATGCATTAAGGCACGCGGTCCGAAGGTATATAAAAAAGGAACATACCGCTGAAAAAGAAAGATATAATACGAGTGAAATTACACTATCAATAAACTATTAAATTTGCAAAAAGAGAATCATTGAAAAGGGTTTGGCCTAGGAATGGGCACTCTATTATCAATGAAGAGAAATTCAAATTAAGGGTAAGTGATAAATAGTAAAAAAAAAAGTTACGTGATTTTGGCACGTGACAATTTTCTTTCCATAGTTGGCTTATTTATTAACGGTTGATTCCTTTAAATAGGAAAATACATCTGTTCGGTATATAACTATCACCCGTAGCCAAATACCTTAATGTCACTAGCAATCTCACGCGGGGCGATATTGCTTCCAGAAAGTTGGTATCACATTTTTTTATCATAGGTAAGATTTTTTCAAGTAAGTAGTGAAAATCGTCTTTACTCATCCGTGTGAAATTTCGGAATAAAGCGGTATCGTCAGCCACCAAGTTGTTGCACAAATTGTACTGAATTTCTTGACCATCTACGTATATATTTCTTCTCCAATGTTCTAGCGTTTTTCTTTTTCTTTTGCGATTCGAAGAAATTACTAAATAAGCAGCCGCCGTAATGACATGGCGTACTAAACTGGAGTTGCTTGAATTGAATCGGGGAGACGCATGCTCCACTCATGTACGACAAAGCGCATGCCACAGTGGAATTGCGCCTTTATAGCCGACGACACTGATCAACACGTGGATTCATGTCGCTGACTGCGCCCTCGAGATGCTACAACAGGCAACTTGTAGCATGCGCCAACGAGACATATTTTTTGTCGTTTTGTGTTGCCTCTATGCCGTATACAACATGTTGCCAGCGCCGCCAGTCTTTGAATCTTGGCGAGCTTGCGGTTAACTGGAGTCTTTGATTCAGCAATCATCGAGGGTAAGTTTCAGATGTTATATTACTTGAAAGTTAACTTCCAACTAACAATGAAATCAGTTAAGTCTGACTGCCGAGTCTCGAACAACATACGTTGCCACTAGACTCGTTTTCGGTATTCTTTCTATTATTATTATATTATAAATGAAACATCGAAAGCCTATTTTCAGATATTTTTTATTAAGTTTCAAAAGAATACAATACAAACACTAATATTCAATGAAATACCTGCGTGCCTTCCTCATATTACATTAAAAACCGAAAAGTATAATGATTCAGTCTAAACGTTTGTATGCATAATTGCTTATTTCCGTTTTAGAGCTGCATATGTCTTGTTCCGACAGTAGTCATTATTTGCAACTTAACAATAAATAACAAACTGGCCTTTCAAAAGTAGTATAAGCAGACCAAGTGTAAATAAAACTATTCTACAAATAAATAAAAATTAACAGGTACAGTGACAAAAAGTATTGCAATAGTCAAGTCTGAATATAGGCATGTAGTATGTATGAAGTTCCAGCACTTGTACAGCAATTTGTTTGTGTAAAGAGCAGACTACTTTGCCGCTCTAGAAAACGTTTGAAACGCGACATAAAGCGGAGTCATAAAATAGGAATTTCATTGTTTTTCTATAAATACCGAATAAGTGGCAGCCATAATTATAACTCCAATGTAACAAAAACATGTCCAATGTGGTGAAACCTAGATGAAACATTGAATGTGCTGGAACTTGGATGAGAAAAAAATATACTTTGTTACATTCTTTAAACTTAATTCATATGGTAACAATGTAATGATACTTTTATGAACAACGATATAGCAGTTAGCTAAATATACACTCATAAACAAAACTTGTGCCAATATTTCAAACAAACGTACAGATATTTAACATTCAAAGACCGTCAGTTAATACATTTTCGCATTCCTTGAAAAAAAGTAATTAGAAGAGACGTTTTTAAGCATTTTGCAATGCTATATTACAGTAACAATTTATTCTTGTCTGTGAGTAATTTATATCCGGTACTGGATGAAACAATCCATTTACCAGTTATGCGATATAAACAAATTTGGAAACACCACAAACAATTGTCTATTTGACATCTAAAGAATGTATCCTGTCTTTTCCATTGATAATATTTTGTATCTAACCAGTTAAAACATTATTTTTGTCAGCATTTAATAAATAATAAAATTCAAGTTGGTTTTACTTTTAGTTTAGTCTCGATTTGACCAACACAATTCTTAGATACTGAATCATAGATACCTGCCAGCTTGCAAGCTACAAGGCGATCAAATACTTTTGCGCAAGATATAAAGAAACCATAAATGATATTTTCAATATCTCATACAGTATGCAAATGAATATAGATTTTGCAGTTTTATTCCTAAAATATCCATTTTAATCGAGTTGAAAAGAGATGATTTTCCATGGACATCTTAAAATTACATTTTTGGGCCGAACAAATAGAAGCAACACTAACATCATTATGATTTACATGTCATTACGGTTATAACCCCAACTGTAATGAATCTATCATAAAAAAGTTAATTTCATGAATACGGTGATTGAGAAGTTAGATACACAGACTGCAACAGATTATCATTTGTAGTCATTTCACGGCATCCGATACAATTAAAAATTTAAAAAGCGTCATTCAAAAGCATTTTACCGTCACTGGTCGTAAAAAATCGGTTTGTGAGTTTGGTTTTACCAAAAGCCAGACGATTTACCACCTGGAGGATGTCTCACTCGGGTAGATGTCTTCTTATCAACATCTAGTTCTTCTGCAACAGAAATATTAAGATATTACTTGCATCCTGCTTTTTTTAAAATTAAATACCCATGGATACATGAATTACCCCCAACCACACAGTAAAGATATCAAGAAACTCACGACTAAAATCGGAATTCAATGGATTGAATTCGTATTATGTATACATACCACTAACTGAAAATGTTGATTCTTGGATATTTCTTTGGCCCTCTGGTCTTGCGCCCCTACAAGAGGGAGTGTTAACTACTGATTCAGGAAATGTTGGGGTTTCACATGAATACTGCTCCAAGTGGATCTGAAAGCGAATATAGAAGGATAAATATGAAAAGCATGCTTCAGCTAATAGATTCCAAAATATTGAACGGACGAATGTTTACAAACAAACCTTTTGGAAGTTTTGCGTATTCTGTTCCACTGTTCCATTTTTATGTTCAGTGAGTAGTGTGCTGTATTTTTCTGGATCGTACACGTAGGGTGGAAACACTGGGGTTTCGATAAACCTTCCATGGCCCTCGGCCACTCTGAGTTGGCCTTCGTCGACGCATACTCTGCCGTTAACTATGACGTACTCCGGAACACCATGACAAGTCATGCCCTAAAACAGATTCGGCTTCATTAAATTAAAAGTATCTAAAAAACCGTTCCAATAGCAAAGATGAAGGTTTTTGAAGATAACTTTTACACTGGTATGCATAAACGGTCTCCGGAGACTCGTCAGCGGCTCGCCGTACTTCAACTGATGATTCCGATACAATGTTCTCTGCCGGACAATCGCCGCTTCACCATCGGAATCATCCTTTGGTGATCGAAAAATTAACCAAATCTCGAACTATCATAGACAGAAAATGTGGGGTCCATTTAGGTGCATTATAGAGCTGCTTTTCAATGACCCAGTTGAGCTACTCGGAGTAACTCACCATGCTCAGCACCAATATTGTTCCACTGCATTTCATATTCCCATAAATATACTGGAAAGCAGCTTACGTATTCAATAGTACTTCATGATTAGTTTTTTTTTCAGAGGAGTGGACTTGCAAGATGCAGAAGATGCTAAGAATGTTTTTAATAATATTTTTCTAGCAAATAAACCATTATATCTAGAATGAATTTTCTTTATAAACCCAATTTTATACATGGTGTAAACGTTATGGTAGTCATTATTGAAATGGGTAATAGGGGGGGGTCAAAACAAGACAAAAAGTTCATATGACCGATGGACCAAAGGTCAATAGATTTTTGTCTAAATGGCTTTATAGTTTACAACTTTAAGTGCTTTATATCGACCACAATCATCACAATCTTACTAATTTTTATAATCTAATCTAAAACGTTTTTAAATTGGGTAATTAACAAATTAATGGTATTAAGTTTTTCTAAATTAAGCCAAAATTTGTAGTCAGTAACTAAGAAGTTTCATTAAATTGAATATTTAAAACACACATGACAACAGCGCGTCGGTCATCATCACTCTTATCGAACCAGCAATCAATCGCAAACTGTAACAGTGGATAGTATGTTGTTGTGTTTTTGTTCGCGGACGTCGTCGACTTGATTCACAGAATTCAAATCTAGCAGCTCAAATTTATCGCGACAGATTTCGCCAACGGGTACTCCCAGACAAAAGTACATTTGTGCAAGTGATACAGGAAGTGTTCAGCACACTAATATTCGCACTCGTGAAAGACAAATTACTGTAGAGCAGAAGGAACAAATTTTAAGTATCGTGGAAATCAATGCAGATATCTGCACTCGAGAATTAGGCTGCCGCGTAGGACTATCGCATACCATAGTCCATAGAATCCTACGGGAAAATTTGCTTTATGCCTACCATGTACAACGAGTGCAGGCCTTGTTGCCAGAAGACGATCCTCGCAGACTAACATTCTGTCAGTGGTTTTTGCACAAAAACATTGAAAATCCGGATTTTTTTAAAAACATTCTAGCGACGGACGAATGTACTTTTACGCGAGACGGGATATTAAATTTCCATAATATGTACTTACACGTAGGCTCAAGAAAATCGTCATACCATTCGTGAAGGTCGTAATGAAGCTTGTGTGGAAAGTAGAGGACAACATTTTGAACATCTTGTTTAAATACAAAAAAGTGCAGTGTGGGTTTTAAAAAGAAAAACAATGTATACTAAGTGACATATAAATCCGAACACCCAGTTTAAATGGTTTTATTTTAATAAAAGTTGGTGAATGTATTTATCTTACTGTAAATAACAAGTGAACAAATTTTTAGCCTTATCAGTTGGACATTCCGGTTTTTATACTGCTTTTTGTTAATTCACTAACGCTCGAAAAATGAATATTTCAGCCGCAGTAAAGAATCAACGTTGGCGGATTTTGGTTCTTGACATCCTTTACGATCGGTTACGATGCCTAGAGTACGGAGACCAGGACCGGTATTCTCGTTCTCCAAAACGCTAAGCGTTTTCCAGGCGCTCAGCGAATATGACGTCATTTGCACTTGCTTTCGACGCACTTGCCAAAATATGGTATTCCCGTTGCCCGAACGCTCAGCTTTTTGAAAAGCGCTTGTCGCTTTCAAAACGACTACCAAGTGGTCGATGTTTTGCTTATCGCTTTCGTGATGAGTACTGACACTGCTGTCAGAATTCTTATTTAGATCGTGATTTTGGTTGTAATTGCGGCTACTGTGGTCCTCATATTTAGATAATTATATCCAAAGTATACCTAGTAATGGCATATCAGTTTGCTGGGGTTAATTTAATCCGGATTATTGAGCATGTGGAGAGGCAAAGATTCAATGCTGATGATCCGTTCGAATTCTCTGACTTTATATTTGTGAAATTATATCGTCTGCGAAAAGAGGACGTGCAAAATTTGGAAGAAATGTTACAGCCATTTTTACGATTGATAAAATAGTGATATTTGCATTATAACAACCTAGTGTACATTAGTGACATTAATGTTTTAGATACTGTCTACCTTGCGTTTCTTTGCAAGTGGAAGCTACCAGCTGGATGTAGGCAGAAATCATACAGTAACTCTCAGCCAGCCATCGATTTCAAGAGCTTTACATGAGGTGTTGGGAGCATTCAACACTCCAGAAATATTGAATAGATATGTCCATTTTCCAAACACAATTCAAGAGTTAACCAGCACTAGAGAAAGGTGTATTTCTATCTAGAATTATAAATATATATGAGGAACTATCATGATGTTGTAATAGACTATGTTTCTTCAAATGTATTCAATAAGATGATCAAAATTTGACGGTCAGGCTGTACCTATATTGATTTTCTTTTTCTAGATTTTTCGCAAAGTACCAGGTACCGTGAATTATAGGCTGTATTGTTTGCACTCACATAGCTATTGTATGCGCAATTAAAAATGAACATATATATCAATAGGAAACATTACCATTCACTCAATGTACAGATGGTAAGCTACCCTTACATCCATGGACGGAGGTATTAAGATGCATTGCCTCCCCAAGTTTCATCGCCATGCATCATGAATGCATGAAATAATTTTAATTTCTCATAAGAAGAAACTTTCAATGCACAAAGTGTCAACCCCTAATCCAAACATTTCGAAACTCGAGTGACACTGACAAAACGCTACTGACAAGTAGTGACAACCATCATAATGCCAGAAATAGAAACTTTTTTAGTTCTGTGGTTATATAACATTGGTGACATTGGAGACAAATATGTTGGTAACACTGGAACAAGCACCGTTGCCACTATGTGCCAAGCGTTTTGAACCCGAAGCGTTCGCGCAGCAATGTGAATACCTAAACCGAACGCTTAGCGCTTTGCCGTACGACAGGAGGCGCTAGGCGTTTTGAAAACGTATCGCTTTCAAGCCAAAGAACGAGAATACGGGTCCTGTACGATTTCGTCAACTTGGTGAGTTTGATAGGGGCCGTATAGTGAGACTTCGGGAAGCTGGACTTTCTTTTCGGGCAATTGCAGTTAGAGTGCAAAGAAGTGTAGACACTGTGGTTAGGTGTTGTCAGGCATGGCTTCGAGAAGACCGTACGCAAAGAGCAAGGGGCACTGGACGCCGCCGTAGAACAACAGACCGTGAAGATCGCCGCCTAAGATTATTGGCCTTAAGGGACCGTTTCTCCACTACCAGGTCCGTTGCAAATGAATGGTTTGCAGAACACGGAAGACCTATTGGCATGCGAAGTGTTTACCGACGAATGAGAAGTTTTGGCTTGTTTTCATACCGGCCACACTGGGTCCTCCCTTTAACTCGAGAACACCGACGTAATCGCCTTGAGTGGTGCAGACAACGGTCACTCTGGGATCAGGAATGATACAGTATTGTCTTTAGTGACGAGTCTCGATTTTGTTTAGGCATGCACGATGGTCGTGCCAGGGTTAGAAGGCGACGTGGTGAAAGGAGGAATCCACAGTTTTTTGTTAAAAGACATGTTCATCACACTGTTGGAGTTATGGTTTGGGGTGCTATAGCTTATGGTTCCAGGTCACCTTTAATCTTCATCAGAGGTAACATGAACGCGCAGCGTTATATCCACGAGGTTCTACAACCCCATCTTTTACCCTATCCTGACACCCTGGCAGATCCAACTTTCCAACAAGATAATGCCCGACCACATGTTGCAAGAGTCACAATAGACTTCTTTCAATATAATGATGTCACATTGTTACCATGGCCACCAAGATCTCCCGACTTATCCCCAATTGAGCACGTGTGGGATATGATGGGTAGGACATTGCTCAATTTGAAACGTCCTACTCAGACTCTAGAAGCACTTCGAGAGGAGTTGGTGGTTACCTGAAATGAGATACCACAGGAGGACATTGACCACCTGATCAGAAGCATGCCTAGGCGCGTTGGAGAATGCGTAGCACATCAGGGTGCATCCACACATTATTAAAGGTCAAAGGGCTTTAAAGCAGTGCAATCATTTTGAAATTTTTATCATTTACTTATTATGCTTCATTAAGTACTTATACAAAATTTTATTAAAATAAAACCATTTAAACTGGGTGTTCGGATTTATATGTCACTTAGTATATGTATCAAAATTGTGTTCCCCATTTATAAGTGGATTTTTTTAATACGTTCAATAAACTTTCACACACCAGGTGAAGCGCTGAGGCAGTTAATGGTAAGTACGTTTTTTTAATTGTTTGCTTTTTACGAGTACATTATCAAATAATGAAATAATACCTAAGAGCCAAAATAACAAACTCCATCTTTATTTACACTGCGTCGTCGAAATCTGCGTCTGGCATTGCGGCGTTGTCAGATTTTATTTTACTTTAAAATCGCTTTCCTC